AAAAATATTTTAAAATGGAAAATTAACCAAAAAATGGCCCAAATGTGGACCAAACACAGGCAGGAGACAGCAAATGAAAGCACACACCAACAGAAGAGTCTTTTCTTTTTTAGAATATTTTTTAAGAATAATATTAAAATAATATTAAAAAATAATATTAAAAAATAATATTAAAAATATTTTAAAATGGAAAATTAACCAAAAAATTAAGAAACAAATTCACAAAAACCGAAGGAACTAGGAAGTAATGAATCCAAGCAAGGAATATAAGCAACACTCACAGCAGCAAGGAATGAATCCAATCCAGTTGCTAGCCAAGCCAAGCCAACCCAATGCAAACCCTCCCGGACCTCTTCTCTCTCCCTCGCCCTCTGCAGCAATGAGCTACGGCCGCGCGGAGCCGCTTTGAAAGGGCTCGCCGGCCAATCAAAAACAAACAGCCACGGTGCACTGCTTGGGAGCGCCGGATTGGCTCCCACCAGCAGCCTCCATCCCATTAACGAAACGAGCGGAAGCTCGTTAAATCTATGGGGGCTGCCGGTTCGATATTTATAAACCCTTCCGGGTTTGAAAATGTGTTTTGATATCGCTTCGGAAATGCCAAAAATAACGAATTATTAACGAATTAACGAATTAACGAACGAAACCGCACAGGCCTACCACACACATCTCTGAAGCCTAGTATAAGTAGCTGGGTGAGGCTTCAGTCCTTTCAACCTTATAGGGAGCTTTTTCTGCCTTACCAGCTTTAAAAGTATTTGAAGTGCTTCCAGTACAGGTCTAGGATTCAAGGAAAAGATCCCCATTCAGCTCCAAGCAAGAGAGGCAAATAATGCATTTGTCTCTGTTGTGATAGAGTCTGACAGAATTTGGAACGCACAGTTTGAAAATTAATGTGATGATGTTAAACACTAGAAATTATTCATTGTAATTGAAAATGTTTAATTAATTGATCTGGCATTATTTAAATTGTGATCGAGAATGTTAAATGGCACATTCCATGAGATTTACACAGTATGGTGCAGAGGTTGTTGATTCAAAGGGAAACATTTTGCTATTGACTTCTTTGAAAGTGGTCTTTTTAAGGTTGCCTACCTCCAACCTGTTTTCTTTTTATCACATGGACTGCAAAGTTAATAATATGATTGTTATCATTGCTCGGGAATGATGGGGATCCAAGTTGGGAAAAGCTGTCTCTGAACAAAAGATCTCATCTTACAACTTCTTCACTTTGTCACTCATCTTAACCTATTCTTCCCTCCATCCTCCCAATGTGAACAGTATATTACAAATCCTTTATTTGTTTGAGGATTATAAAAATAGTGTATTTCAGTTAGAACATAGTGTCCTACAACAAATGCAGAGACAAGAAAATAATGATAAGGATAACTTAATGAAGCAAAGATGAATAATTGTAAATCAAAAATAAAAACCTGAGCATAAACAGAACATTTTTTTTGCACAGATAAATCAGGACCACAAAAATATATATGTCCAAGCAACAGATGATGAAATTCTTGGATGCCAAATATCTGGATAAAGAGGGACATGCATTACATGCAGGAGCTAGAAGTTGCATAAGTAATCTGTGGGTTCATCTATCTAAACGATAAGTCATCTAACAAGTCAGTGGAGTTCACAATGATCTTTGGATGTAGGTGGACTGTGATCCCCATTATCCCAGATCCATCCCCATGAAAACCCACCAGTATTTTAGGGTGGTCATGGGGGATATGTGTACTATATTTGGTCCAGATCCGTCATCAGTGGGAGCTACAGGGCTCTCTGAAAGTGGGAGTCATTTCGGAAATTTCCCACAAACACACTCAATTTTCATTTCACTTTTATTATATAGCTAGATTGGAGATGAGAATTTACTGGGGTAAAATTGCAATATATCCCTAATCACCCAAAAATATTCCAAACAATTACCTTTGATACAGAACCATGGGAGGGCCTGCTGTCACTCCCCATTTCATGTTCTATTCCAAGACTACATTTTTGCTTTGCTTTTCAACACTAGAAGATGCTCTTTCTTTTTCTAACATGCCTTAAAAGAGATTCATATGATGCATTTCCTGCAGTTCCGATTCTTTGTCTCCCAAGGTATCATGCCTTCCTGTTTTATTTAATCTTCCAAAGGGAGAAACATCCAATCAAATTTTAGTGACCTAATTCACTTAAGTATATTTGTAAGTTCAATATTGATTCCATAATTTAGGAAATTAGATAATTCACAATAAAAATAATGCTAATAAAAAGCTAATAATTTACCATTTTACTTGATTAATTATTTCCAAGCTCTGCATCTTGAGATGGTCACAAAGAAGTGTGATATCTCTTTGGCGGACCTTTGAGACCAAGCGTGATAGAAGGGAAAGCAGCAATTCTATTTCTGGCTCCAAAGTAGAGCCAGGGCTTTACTAGATGTACTCACCAAATCTAAACATAGGTATGAACTCTGTACTAATAAACAAAACTTCTCTTTAATCATGGCTCTGAATTTGAGGACAAGTGTAAGCTTAATATTCCTGTTGATCAGTTGCATTATCAATTCAGAAATAGCACAATGATAAATAATAGATAGTGCTTCGCACTACATTTGACTAATGGCATTGCCACTGCAGTATTCTGGTTTTTCTCTGCACCTCAGGCTAATTTGCTTTTCCAGTTTGTTAGATTTCATTTGTGTAACTGTTTCATGACCCAATAATGAAGGTCATTGAGATATCTGCCATTATAACACGCAAGGAACAAAATTCCAACTAGAGCCTTAATTTAATTTGATGTCATTTTTGACAATATCAGTGCCTCCTCCTTCCCTTAACCCTTTAGAGTTTTAAAATATGTCAGGATGAACTTTTTTGAGGAAAAAAAAACTTTGGAAATGGTAGCATGTGTTATTCCCCACTATATTTTATATGCAACAGTAATGCAACTGTGACTTGATTTTGCAATTAAGAGAATGGTCTTTCCAGGAAGGCAAATACTTTTTCGGTAAAGTATATACCACTTACAAGCATCCTATGGCCATTGAGCATCTGTCCTACTGATGAAGCTGTAGGATAAAAGAATTGTGGTATGATGGATTTTCACATTTTTTTCTTACAACTGTCTGTAAACAATTCCCCCTTGATTCATATTTGACACTACCGCTAGGAAGTAAATATTGGATTAAATGCCAGGCTTTTTTACAATGTTTTTGATGTTCAACAGCAAAATAGTAATATATTCAGAATTCATTCAACAAGGTTATTTAAAACTACTTAAACTGGGGTGTTCGTGTTATCTTTGAAACAGATATACAGGTGTGAATAGCTCAATATAATACTATCATGCTGTTATTTTTATTACCTTGAGAGATTGAATTTGCTTGTTTTTTGCTGATATTCCTCAATAAGACCCCAGGGGTACTGACTGTGATATGGACTATAAATTATAAAATAAATGTTGATAGAACCTAAAGGGAACTAAATAATAAAAGTGCTGTGAAACTCCTCCCTCCCAATTTGATTCACAATTGGGTTTAGCAGGCTAAACAACAACAACAACAACAACAACAACAACACTTTATTTATATACCGCTCTATCTCCCCGAGGTGAGTCACAGCGGTTTCCAAATAACATAATCAATACATACAAGGAAAACAGCATAACATTAACAAGACAGTATAAGCATTAAAAACCACAATAACACATATATATTTAAAATAATCCTGCCTGTTCAAGTTAATTTCAAAGGCTGAGCTGGGGCTAGTGCAATTTTAGAGGGCCTGGGAAATTAGGTAGAGTCTATGGCTGTACATTTCCAGGGCCTAATAGAAGAAAGTAACCTGGGTAATTGGTAGGAAAAGATATGGCCAATTACAACAGTATCTGGGGCTAAGCTAGAACTAGCCGTTCTCAAAAGTTTGTTTAAACCACGAGGTCTTCAGACTCTTACAAAAGGAAGGGAGGGATGGGGACTGTCTTATTTCTCTAGGAAGTGCGTTCCAGAGGTGGGGAGCCACCACCGAGAAGGCCCTCTCTCTCATCCCCACCAACCGTGCTTGTGACAGTGGTGGGAGAAAAGGAGGGCCTCCCCGGAAGATCTTAAAGTCTGCACCGGTTCATAGAGGGAGATGTGATCGCAAAGATAGGCAGGGCCCGAACTGTTTAGGGCTTTATAGATCATAACCTGCACCTTGAATTTTTATTGGCAACTTATTGGCAGCCAGTGAATCTGTTTTAAAAGGGGCATTGTATACTCCCTATAGTTTGCTCCAGTAAGGAGCCTGGCCGCCACCCGTTGTACTAGTTGGCGCTTTCAGGCCATCTTCAAGGGCAGCCCCATGTAGACTGCATTGCAATAGTCCAATCTGGATTTAACCAAGGCGTGGACCACGCTGACCATGTCAGACTTCACGGGGTATGGTCGCAGCTGGTGCACGAGTTTGAGTTGTTCAAATGCCCTCCCGGCCACCACCGACACCTGAGCATCAGTGTGACAGTGTTGAGCTTGAGGACCCCCAAGGTATGGACCTACGCCCCCAGGGGGAATATAACCCCATCGAGCACAGGTTGCCATCCAATACCCCGGTCGGCCCCACGACTGACCAGGAGGACCCCTGTCTTGTCTGGATTAAGCTACCCCACCTACCCCCACCAATTCCAAAATATGTCTTGTTACACATCACATTCCAATGCATTATGTCTCAGTGACTTTGGATATTTGACAGGGTCTAACCTATTTTCCACTGCTGTAGTTCATCTGTCTCCAAATTCCATGCCTATCAGCTTCACTAATATTTTCCCCTGACTGCCACACATCTGTCAAGCTATAAACCCAAAAGAGGATAGGAACAGAGAGGCATACAGCCATCTCTCCTGGAGTTAAGCAGTTCTTAGGCAATTGGGGAGATAGAAGACAGTGAGAACTAGATACTAATGTGTGGGGGGAGGGGAGTCCTTGTGTTCTTCTCGACCATTCTCTGAAATTGTGCCTTTTATTAATTTTGCAGTCAAACTTCAACTATACCGAATGTACTGAACAGCTTTGAAATATGAATATAGTTAAGGAGAATATTACCCACCTTTGATGTGAGTTCTCTATATACAAATATCTTGTGAAATGACTCATTTTATAATATAAGATACCTAGTAAAAGAGGCACTTTAAAGCCACCTACGCATGTTCTAGCAACCCTGTGGAAATTGCTTCAATTAAATACTCTGATTTTAATAAAAATGTTTCTAACAGGTTTGTGGAATAGATGTAATATCCCTTGTGGTGCCATGATCTCCAATGGATATGTGTCTGGTTTTGAAAACAAATTCATTCTTTTTGAAACTCAATGTTGATTTTTTTTAATCACCATGAGTAGAATTTTCCCTAATGAAAAGCCACTTCTGTAGGTTAATATTATCTCAGAACTAATATTCAGTGCATCATAGAAATTACTTTTCAAGATTTTAATATTAAGAAAAAAGAAAGAAAGAAAGAAAGAAAGAAAGAAAGAAAGAAAGAAAGAAAGAAAGAAAGAAAGAAAGAAAGAAAGAAAGAAAGAAAGGGGAGTTCAGATTTACAAGAAGCATCTAAGGACACCCATAGACAACTTAATTATTTGCTTTTAATAAGGCTTTTACACAAACACACACAAATACATTTTTCCTGCTCACAGAATGAATCTAGAATATGAACAGAACATATGAGTAAAGAATAGAAACTTTGCACAAATACAAATGCTGCAGCACCATGTTTATTATGAATGCTATAAGGTTAGGCATTTTAGGTTGGGAGAAACCAATTTGAATATACTTGTCAATATCCAACCTTAACTGCAGATCAATTTCACGTCAATCATATATCACTGTGTGTAGGTCCTTTTGACATTTTACTCTCAAGTGCAGGGATTGAGAACATCTGGCCTTCTAAATGTTGGTGGATTGCAGCCCCGTAAAACAGAATAGTCAGCGGTAATAGGAGCTGCATTTGAATAACATGTTCCTGACCCCTATTGATATGTCAGTGGCATTCTCTGAAGAAACTCTTTCCTTTCCTGAAGCAAACATTTGACTTTCCATTTTACTTTCTATTATCATGTAATTAGTGTCAGCATTAAAACCTCTGCTGCCAATCAGGAAAAGTTTTTAAATTAATATAGTAATTTTATTAGCTAAAAGCTTCATACATTAATAAATATAATACATGTAATATATTGCTGAGCTGCTGAGCTTGTTGACCCAAAGGTCGCAGGTTTGATTCCAGGGAGCGGCATGAGCTTCCACTGTCAGCCCCAGCTTCTGCCAACCTAGTAGTTTGAAAACATGCAAATGTGAGTAGATCAATAGGTACCACTCCAGCAGGAAGGTAACGGCGCTCCATGCAGTCATGCTGGCCACATGACCTTGGAGGTGTCTATGGACAATGCCGGCTCTTCGGCTTAGAAATGGAGATGAGCACCACACGCCGAGTCAGACATGACTGGACTTAATGTCAGGAGACAACCTTTACCTTTTTGATATATGTGCCATCTCACACTACCCCGACTACTAAACTGAACTATTAAAATTTCAACTAAAAAGGCACACAAGATACATTGCAGAAAAAAATAAATAAAAGTTGACTTCTTATTTTACTCCCAGTGGTATATATAATGCTATATCCTACTTTCTTGACTTGTACAACTTTATATTTCTATTTTATGATCCAAACAACTAATTCTCTAACACCACAGTTTATATACTCTCACCTCTTTCTTGCAGAAAGACAATGGTTCCCAAATTTTTCATAAAACAGCCCAATAATTTTCTCTTATTTATTCATTTCATTTATTCAATTCAAATGTTTTCATTATCCAATCTTTCTGTATTGGAATTTCCATATTCTTCAATTCCTTTGCATATAGCAATCTTGCCCCAGTTATGTGCTCTGGCACCCTGTCATGTTGCCATTGTCACAATTTGCACCATTCCCTATCCCACCCCAGCACTATTCAAATGCTTAAACATGTATAGCATTACTGTTATACTCCAACAATGTCTTTGACGTTTTGGTTTTATCCATGGAGATTTTTAAAAAATAAATCATTGTTAAAGGTGCTACTAGATTCCCTCACCCATCCACTGGTTTTTAGATCTTTATTGAAGGTGTCTGAATAGTTCTAGGAGATCATGAAGATAGGATTCCTTACAAAACTTCCAGTAAATCAGTGTTAACTAGATCAGTATTTCTCAACAATTTATATTTAAAACAGTCTTGATCCAAAAATAGTTCCTCAAACGGTTATTTGGTAGTGTATGAAAATGAGCCAACTAGTCATTGACTAAAATCTTTTTGGGGCAATCCACTGCCCAATTTACCAGGCAAGGTAATTGTGCAGGTGGGCATTCCCTCTGCCCACCATTTTGGCTTGGTCTCCTTGTTCCCAAGAAGTCTCAGGCTTCGTGCACTCCTCGGATGTGTGAGAGTGTTGGCCAATCAGGCCAAGCCTCCTGAAATGGTTCTCGTGATTGCACATTACACATCTGTGCTACATTGACTTCCATGGTTCAATATGTGATTTTTTTTAAAAAAATCAATCCAGGAATCAACTTGACTTTGTCTATGCATGATTTTGTCATAATCATCCTGCAACATGAATTTGTGGTCTTTAATGCTGTAGGGACACTTACCAATATATTATCTCAGTGGATTATCCTTGTTATTTAATATAAGGATAATTGTGAGTTTGAGACTTTTTTTAAAAGGAATGTAGTGGATGCATTAAAATTAGTAAATATTTTTTATATAAAGCATCCACACACAACATCTGCAGTTGGAGATAAACTCTGCTGTAGATATAGTTACCATATATACTCATGTATATATTGACCACATGTATAAGTCAAGGGCAGCTTTTTGGACCACAATTATGGATTTTGGTATTGCCCGTTCATAAGTCGAGGGCCATTCTGTAGTGAAGCTAAAGTGCCAGTGCTTTCTCATGAGGCCAGCTGACCCTGGCCTTCCATTTTCCTGCCCAGGCATTAAAAAGGCATTTTGCCACTCTATGCAGAAAAGGTTCCGTATTCACACTTAGCAAGGAAGGAACCATTCCCTTCTCTGAGTAGAGTGGGAAAAGATGTGAGTGTATTCTATGCTGAGAAAAATCCAAAAGAAGCCCTGACCACCATCATTCCCATTTTAATCATTGCTTTAAAGGGAAACCCCAACGAGCTGCCACCATTTTCCCATCCAGGCATTCAGAAAGGCCAGAAGTGATGCCATGGCTGAGACAGTACAGTGGATCAGTAATTATTCTAGGCTTTCTCAGAATGGACTAAGCTCTGTTTTTTAAAAGAATTAAGGGACGGTATTGACATTGACCCATGGATAACCCTGGTTTGGGGTTTTTACCTTTTGACAAAAAATTATAGATTTATATATGAATTACATTATATACATACTCTCCCTCTGAAGTATTATATTCATACCTGCATGGTTCTGGATTCAACTTTGCTCCTGGGTGACCACGTGGTTGATGTGGCTAGGAAGGCCTTTTCTGAACTTTTATTGGGACACCAGTCATGCCCTTTTTTGAGAGAGAGAATAGTGTCACAGCCTTGGCTTCATCAAGACTATATTGTTCTATTCTATAAGGAGTCACTCATGGCCAAGTATGATTGTCTTCCAAAGGTAGAGTCTTGGCGATAGGTACATAAGTCACTGTTGAAACCTAGTTTGGATGCATATGGTCTTTCACAATGTGGATATAGATTACCAGATGGAAGGCTGTCACAACAAGGGTTTGGTTGATGCCCCTTCCTCTTAGCACATTTCTCCCTTTTGCCCTCTCTTTGTGCCTCTTCAAAATCCATAGTACCATTTGTAACAGCAGACTTCCAGTTAAAACACACAAATGCCAGTGTTTCCCAGTTCCCTGTGTATTCTACTTTTTCTTTAGGTTAGCTTTAGGCCCATCTTTGTTTTTTTGTTTTTTTACATGTGATTGTCTCTAAAAAATGTTTGGAAGTCACAGTTTACGGTTAATATACTTTTGTGTGTATAATTTTCAGCCCATTTTTCATCATCCCATTCAAAATGCTAGTTTTTATCTGCAAGGGTTTCTGGTTACCAGAAGAGTTCTCTTTCCTATATGAACTCTGACAGTATGTTACAATTATTTTCTGAGGATCAGTTAGTGATATTACAAGACAGATTTTCCCCCTGTGACAGCACCACATTCTTTCAGACTCTCATTGAAAGAACTTAAAGTAGCTCAATCAATTACATGTATTTCTTCCATTTGTCTTTCTATTGAATTTGCTTTTGAGTATTTTACATCTTTTTTCTATTGAATTTGCTTTTGAGTATTTTACATCTTTTTCTCTGCAACATGTTTCAAATTGTTTATAGTTAATTTCTAATAAGTTTTCAGTAACAGGGGAAATCCTGTTTAGGAGAGAAAGATAGCCTAAAATGTTCCTGTAAAGGAAACAATAATACTTTTGACACAGTACACAAAATTTAGGGAAACTTTCATGCTGGCACAAAATTTGTTGAGTAATTTCTGAATAAGAGTTCTGGTCTTGAACTTTTTTTCAAGGTAAGCAGGGTAGGAAATACATGATTTTTTTGTAATAGATAAAAAACTTGGTTGAATTATGAAAAATTACGAGTTTTTACTTGTTAAGCCTATTTGGAGAGAAAGTATTATATGAATCTGGTTCACTTCCATGACATAGACCTAGTACTAACAATAAAATGACAACTAGAGAAATCAGATGTCTTTTAGAGAGAAATGATCCACTGACCAATGGTACTGGTACCATAAGATGTCTGACAATTATGTTTCTGTGTCTCTGTGTGTGTTGTATTCTTTTCTAAAAGAATCAAAATCAATTGAGGATCTATATTCTTCCTCAGTGTTGTTATTTTATTAGTATTATTTTTATCTATAGACAAAGTTTCTTACATACCTTTTTTGAGAGCCTTTCTTCAAAATATACAAAAATGCATAAAATGATGAATGAATATTTGTCTTTGCTATCATAATAAATCATAAGAGGAGAAAGAAAAATAATATTTCAATATTAATGTCAAATTTATGTACCTGTTAGTGTCAATGTTTGTTCTCCATGGAAACACTGAGCTTGTAGGTGAGAGCCAGATAACCTAACTTTGCACCCCACAGTATTACCGTAAAACCTAACAATCATTTGATTGTCAGCTGCAGTTAATTATGATGGTGAGAGATAGGCAAAAATAGTAAGACAAAGAAGATAGAGCTACAGAGAGGTTGATGCAATTAATGTTTGCTAAATGTACATACATAAAGGAGGGAAATATCACAATAATCAACCCGGTTTTTTGCCTTCAGCCTATCTGAGGCCATGTGGGTTGGAGTCTGACCACTAGTCGGAAAAGAAAAGGCTGTTTGCAAGAGTTCTGGGGTATGTTTTCCTGGAAAAGGTGAGACGCTGAAAGCAGAACTCTGTCAAAGAAACATTGTGCCTTTATGAGAACATCTATATTCAGAGCTGTTGTTAAACTATTATAGGCAACTGTTTTTATTTATCTTTCAAATGGATGGATTTGTTTGAAAAACAAATATGTAAATTCCATGCTTAGTTTAAACTGAGTGGAATGAATCCTGTTCTGTAGTTAGCTTCCCGGTATTTGGTGTTCCATCATTTTTAGTGTACCAATAGTAAATATTTTACAGATTGAGGAAACATGAAAATGTTAAAGGAATTCTAGCTTTTGTATGTGGAATTCATGTTTGTATGACACATCTTCTGCCAAATATATCCCATGAACTGGATATATATTCCATTGACATTTTGCCCCTAAATCATTTATTACTACATTTTCTATATCATGCCTGTTTGTTGCTGCTTTGTGTATTACTATTATTAACATGGTCATTTTTATTATTATCATCATAATTGCTAGACATCTTTTTTTCCCACTCTGCAATTTTGACCCTTATTTAGTAAAACATCATTTTTCTTATTTGATTTTTGTTTACTGTAATTCTTTTTGCTGAAAGTTTTTAATTTCATTCCATGAAATCAATGTTCAGTTATATTGATCACAAATACCTGTTTAGTGATCGTATCACCAGAGGGCAGTATTTATTAATTTAGTCTGCTGAATAATCAGAACTTGACCTGACAACTTAAAAGCAGATAAACAGATGTACACCTTGAAATAAACTATACTGTCTCTAAATATTTCTGCATTACAGAGTGTTGTCTTATGTTATCTGACCAATGTATATAATTTTTATTTAACAAAGAAACACAAAAAGCAGAGACATATATGTTTAGTGCCATTGAATGCACTATCTAATATTTGGAAAGCATTATGGTTGTAAGATGAGTAAATAGTCAAAGCTTTTCTGAACTGTCCTTTGGAAAAGTAGAAATTAAATGTTGATTCATTTGTTCTTATTGGTTTACAGGTCTCCTGACGAATGCAACAACAGAGACGCCTTGTAGGAGTTTTTAGGCTCTGTGTGGGCTACAATTCCTCGTCAAGTTTCACTGCTGTGGATCATCGTTCATTATATGTCATCCGTTCAACTGTCCCTTTCTCTGTGTTTCATCAAAGACAACATACTTCTATGTTATGAGCTAAAGTCTGTTCTACCATACTAAAGAGCACTGGACTAAGGAATCAAGTTATTAGAGAAATGCTCGGGCATTAGCAATACAAAAACAATAAAACACATTCACAGTTAACGTCTCATCTGCGTTGTGTGCCACTGCTGAACTTGATCTGTGGTGATGTTTTAATCTGAAGAGTTGACTCCACTCGAGAGAACTCATCCCAATCAGCCTTAGAGAAGACTGTTTTGTCTGTGAGGGGACACTGAGGTGCAGAGGACAATTTCTTCTCATGCCCTAGACTGCCTGAATTGCTTTTATTTTCTTATGTTTCAGTATATACAATAGACCAAAGAGCAAAATTTATTTTAAAGTGGACACAATGTTACTGTTAACAAAGTTATTTGAATTCAGCAGTATGGGGACCACCATGCACGAATTCCGCTCACCCAGTGCTGCAACATCACTTTCCAGCCAATGTCTTTATGGAACACTGCAGAAAAAGCTGGAACTGCTCTTGGAGGAAAGTACACTAGAGAACACAAGGGAACAAGGAGAGAAAATGACCACTCTTCAGCAAGAAAACAGAACTTTGATTGAAAACAACACAAACTGTCTACATACCACCTTTACTCCTCTGTGCTTAGATTGACTTCTCGTACTAAAAAATCATTTTGAGTTTAACCAGTTCAACATGCCTCTTCTATGGTTCCATTATTTTATTTTTATCGTTAAAAGTTGGATAATACAGTATTTGCAAAGAGCATGTTTGGTCATATGTGGCCTATGTCTCATCTGATCCACCATTTAGCACCAGAAAGCAAATCCAAGGGGGGGAAAGTAACACTTGTTTGAAAGAGATCATTAAATGTATTTTGAAAAGCCTAAAGTTATATATTTAACAGTTTTTATATGTTGTATATTTGTAGAAAATCCTATTTAACAATTAACGTGGTAACTCTGACAGTCATGACACAAATGGGCTCAGAGTTGAGTTGTTGTTTTTATTACTTCAGTTGTCTCTGAAGTGACTGGTGTAGTTTGCTTTCTTCCATTGGGACATTCTGGATGTAAAGCATGACCAGAGAGGACTCTGTAGAAAAAGCAAAGAATAATGTTGTTTATATTACATAAATGCATTCAACCATTGCACTGTTGGAAGGCTTTCTCTCTCTCCCTCTCTTTCTCCAACTTTTGTCTTTTTCATTTTTCTTTGAGGGGCGGTAGATTTTTATATACCAGTAAAACAATGTACAATATCTTAATGGTTTACTTTCTATATTAAGTTCTGTTCTTCCTCTCTTTTCCCCTCATTTTGAATTTGGTATAAAGGTAAGCTTACTCCTTGATCAAGATGTAGGTGGCTTTATGATTTTTTTAAAAAGCTCTCATACATTAGAAAGCCCTTTTGTTCAATATGATAGGATAGTGAAAGTTAAAGATGAGTTCTATATAAGAAACAACAAAAAAGATCAGGAACCTCCAGAGTGGTATCCGCTCCCATCTACAAGTCTGGCTGACAGTGCTATGAGAACAACAACTGGGCTTTTCTCTTCCCTCCCAAAAAGTATTTGCCAATATTAAACTTTTCCCTAATATCCACTGTAGTATACTACCTAAATACTCCAATTAACTTTTAGTATTATGCTAGTTCTGTGCTACTAAAGAAAAAAAATATATAGAGATTGTTCAAGCAACCATAGATGAGAGGTATGAAAAGGAAGTTCATTATTTAAGACCTATCCCAATTTTCTAGATTATTTTAATGCACAGGTTGAGGAAACCATTAATTATGGGTGACAGTGTCTATGAATAAAACATTTGCGTAGAAGGTCTTATTTCATCACAAGGGTTTTGATCAGTGTCCAAGTAGCAATTAAAGCCCAGCCACGTGAAAAGTATTATGAACTGCCAGCAGTATAAATGACCAATGTCCGACTTAAGGTGTCATGCAATAAATGATGGTAGATACTTCAACTGTATTATAAGAATTGGAAAGCCAGATCCCTCACTCCACTCACTTTCTCTTTTGTTACAGTTTTATTTAAATTTTTTTGAAGGGAGTGTAGTAGCCTTATTTAGTAAATACTGAACAAAAATTAAAATGTTTCAACATTTTTGTTGCTTTACAGTATTCAGTTTTGTGTTGGTTCAGCTAAATTATGAAAAAATAAAGAAAATCCTTTTATAAGCGAGACTTGTTCACTGCTCTTGACATAAAACAAGGAGGGAGGGAATGGAAAAGCAAAAGTTCTGTGAATGGGTATGAATCAAACTTTTATGTATACAAAAATTACTGCATGCTCGGTTGTGCTCAGTTGTGCTTCTGTACCCACATGGCAGAATCGTAGCCATTTAACACTATGTTAATGCTCAATATTTTGGCTCAATGCTTTGAAAATCTGATATTTGTAGTTTTTTGTGGTATTTATTTCTCTCTGACTGAGGACTCTGGTGTCACAACAAACCACAAACCCCTAGAATCCATAGGAGGGAGCTATGGCAGTTAATTTGGTGCCAATTGTGCTATCATTCTGCAAAGTGGGTAGGAAATGTGGTGTGCTTAGACTGAAAATATATCCATCTCCTTTTAATGACTCCCCAAATCCAAGCATATTTGAGCAAATGTGGACGGTTGGCTGATTTTATACAGGACAAAGTGGTAAACTAGTTCAAAGAAGTACACTCTGTGGCCCTCTAAATGTGGCCTGGCTTTATTTCCCATCATGTATCACCATTGATAGTCCAAAAACTTCTAGAGGGCCACATATTTCACATCTTAAATATTTGGAGGAAATTCTGATTGGCTTTAAAAATATGTTTAAGGTACTCACAATTTACCTGTTCCATGGTTTTCGGTGAGTCTTCCCTCAGTAACATTAAATTTGGATCTCAGCTGTAAGTAAAATTGCAGGGATCATCAGATGTATCCCACTACCAAAGTTGACAGGGGAACTGTTTGCCACCCACCCTGCTATCCTGATGCTACATGTAAACACCCACCAAGTCCTGCAAGAGGCATGTGTTTTTTCCGAACAATTTAGGATGGTTAGGAATATCTAATCAACAGTATTTCAGGAGTAAAAAATATCATTTTCCCACAGTTGCTTATGAAAAGAAAGTGTTTTCCTCATGTCCTGTGAAAGACCAGAATGTGACACCAAAAGTTAAATATAGTAAGCAATGTGCTTTCTGCCCTTATGTTTGTGAAAATATGTTTGAACAAATATGTTTGAACAAATTTAAAAATTACACTTTTTTCTAATTGCAAAGGAAGTGTTGACTTATAGCATATATTCATATATAAGTTGACCTCATGTCTTAGTTGCAGACAGGTTTGGGGGTGAAAATTATGAATTTTTGTATGACACATGGATAAGTTGAGGATCCTTCTGTGGAGAGAAGAAAGAACTGATGCCTTCTCAGGGAACCAGCCATCTCTGGCCACTAACGTCACTTCCCTGCTCAGGCATTCAAAAAGGCCAGAAGTGGCACTACACCGGAAGGTGTACAGGGAGTTCCTGAGTTACAAACATCCGACTTACAAAAGACTCATAGTTAAGAACAGGGGTGACGCAACAGGAAGCAAGAGAAATCTACCCTTAGGAGAAAAGGTGTCGTAACTGAAGTGTTATCCCTAATTCTTGTTTCCATGACAAGCCAAATTTTTCAAAATCCAATTCTCACAGGGACAGAAAGTAAGGTGAAATCTTCTGAAGAGGAGCACAGGTAGCAAAATCCTTCCTTATGCTTTTGAAAGCAACTATTATATATATATATATTGGAGAATATATATATATTATATATATATATATATATTCTCCAAACACATTCAACTTAAGAACAAGCCTACAAAACCTAGGGGACAATGTGTACTTCTTCTAGATTCTCTCAGGATGGACTAAACTCTTGACTTTTGCCACTTTACACAGAGAAAGGGGTAGTTCCTTTTGTATAGGAATTAATATATAGTAACTGCATTGACCCTGAGATAAGTCAACCCAGAGTTGAGGGCTGATTTCTAGATTTATACTTGAGTATATGAGGTAATTTGGATTCAAATTAGTAATCTGGATTAGAATGATCAAAGTATTGTGATCATTTGCTTCCTCATATGAAATGTTGGGTCATTTGTGCATATATCTTGAAAACACAGTTTTCTTCTAACATGTTTATGATTGTTTTGTTTTATACTTTGTTTATCTTCCCACTGGCCTCAAGCTTACTTTTTACATAATACCTCCTTGGGTTTTGTGGATTATTTTCCCATTGAGCTAAGGTGAGAATTGCCTTGGCATAGCCAGATCTTCCTCGTGCTTCTGGTACTTTATCACCTGGAAGGTAAGAATATTTCCCAAAGGTATGTGTGAGGGAGAGAATACTGTCTTTATTCTGAGATTTGCATTAAATAACATTTATAGTTATCCCTGGATGTCTGGTATATTCTGGATTCCAAAGAAAATAAATTCCACAATAACCAAGTTAAGAAGCTATCCAATGTGCTCTAATTAGAGATGAATTTCAGCCTAGTTTTATATGACAGCAGCCTCAGGCAAGTTCCAAAAGCACAGCTCTCCTTCCAAATCATCCTTCGAAAATGTACAATTTTGAATGAACAGCCAGAATTTGCTTGGCTGTATAAATTGAAATGTGTCTCCCTGTGGTGTTTAACAAAAAAGAGTTTTTGTTTCCTATATACATTAAAGGACATATTTTTCATTCAAGAATATATCCCTTTTATACCTTACCTTTACTAATGTCCCGTCAAAGACAAAGTGACTTAAAAAAGAAGAAAATCCAAGCAACACAGTTTATGCATATTTCTCTCTTTTTTTTGGCTACCAACAACAACAACAACAACAATTTTTATTGATTAGCCAATTGGCCTTATCCAAAACAAACAGTGAAGACGTGACATACAACATACACATAGTCCTCATAAAATAAAATACAAATAAGCAGGTAGCCATAGATATATGTATCAACTATCCTCGTCTCCCCTACACTGCACCCCAATCTGATCTATGAACTCTGATCTCCATTTAGCAGCTTTAAACAAATAAAGGGCAACTTTTGTTGTCAGAATGGGGTTATAACCAGCCAACAAAAATGAAGTATTGGCTGCTGTATCCCAACTTGTTTTATTGCAAATAAAAGGCCATAAGTATTGTTTCCTTTCTTTTTCATATAGATCCCAGTGATGTAAAGTGTGATTCAGATTTTTGACTTCAGGGGCACCACAGATACATAGTCTTTCTTCATATGGAATATGATTGAATCTGCCGTGTCTCTCCATGGATTCAATTTGTTCAAATCTTGCCCTGGTAAAAGCGGTTCTTAGGTGTCTTGGCATGTCAGCTTTTAGGTACGGCGCCTTCTGGAAATTATGTTTAAAGCGCCCTAACCACTTCAAGGATCCTGTGTTTGACGGGTGGCTATATCTTTCTGGGCTTCAATATCTAGGATCCTTTGAGTTACTATCCTTTTTTCAGCATCCCTATTCTGGCCTAAGGAGACAATTTGTAATCTGTAGGTGCAGAGGAATCTTGTTAATTGTTCTGACCAGGAAGAGGTTTTAGAGGTTTCTTATTTTAGACCAGTAATTAAAGGCCCTGATTTTAGCAAGTCCTTTGATAGAATATATTTCTAGCTCTGCTCTGATTGCAGCAGCAGTGGTCTTGATGTCAACACCAAGTATCTGTCTTAGGAATTTTAATTGTGCTTGTTCCAATATTGGTAGTTTGCTTAGGCCCCAGATTTCAGCTACATATAGTATCATGGGGACAATTTTTGCTTTGTAAACTTTGATTATCGGGGATAAAGATCCAGGATATTTATGGGATAACAATCTTGCCAGTGTGTTAGAATGTGCCCAAGTTTTGATTGCACAAGGTTGAAAGTGTGCAAGCCATGAGCCTGTCTCTGAGTATACCAAGCCTAGATATGTAAAAGATCTAACCTGTTCGCTCTACATCAATAACCCATTTGTGTCTAGAAGGGCGATTTCTGAACACCATTATTTTTTACTTGGATTTGTTTATTGTCTGCTTGTTTTTGTGGGCGTAAGTGTTAAGTTTGCTCAGTAATCTTCGTAATCCTATTTGTGTATTTGACATCAAAATCATGTCATCTGCATATAAAAGAGTATTTACATATCTGTAACCAATTTTTGGCATGTGAACATCCGAGCTGCTGAGGGAATCTGGCAGGTCATTGATATAAATGTTGAAAAGTAAAGGGGCCAATAAGCAGACTTGTCTTACACCTTTGCAGGAATCTATTCTTTTTGTCAGGGCTCCACTGATTCCCATTCTAACCTAACATGGTTGTTTGAGTACAGACATTTGATCAGGAGTAGTAATCTGCGGTCTATTCCATGGGCTGTTAATTTTTTCCAGAGGATTTCTCTATTGATGCTGTCAAAAGCTGCTTTTAAATCAATTAAAGCAACATATAACCTGCTCTTTCTTTTTAGATGTTTGTTAATTAGGTTATTTAATACAAAACAGTTGTCCATGATGGATCTTCCTGATCTGAAGCAGGCTTGTTCTTCTGCTAAGATTTTGTTTTCATATTCCCATAGTTCTAATTTGGAGAGAAGTATTTTTGAATAAATTTTGGCCGCTATATCAATGAGACTAATAGGTCTGTAATTTTTTGGATCTTTTGTGCACCCTTTTTTGTAAATAGGGAGGGGGCCAGTCTGGCAGCTTTTCAGAATGGTCTATACTAGGAGTGACATGATTCTTTGGAGGAGACGAAGGGAGGCTACCAAGATAAATGTCTAACCTGCAGTGGTTCACTTGAAATTATGTTAAATCAACAGATATGATATTATAGTTATAATGAAAATACCTGCAAATCATCCTAGAAACACAGGTAACACAAACAAGGTTATACTGGATACTTCAATATATCTGAGTATAGCACTGTCTCTCAAAAAGAGCCAACCAGATAACCTTGATACAGGACAATTTCTTAACCAGTTAAATTTTTTAATGTTATACCAGGCTTTTGATGGTAGTGTAAAATGTTATGCCAGCCTTTTAATGCAATAGCCCTAATCTTCCAATCTATGTTGATTTGTGTGTGTGTATATGTTAGCCTCCAAGCTTCCTTTTGACTTATAACTCCATGAATTACATAGGTTTTTAAGACAAGGAATACTCATAGGTGATTTTGCCAGTTATT